TGCCGACAGGCCTTCTTTTTGAGTTTTTCTCCGGAGTAGTATCTTTTCTTTGGTTTAGTTGGATTTAGTGTCGCTTAGCTTGATCGTTAGGCTTTTTTTTTTTTTTTTACCCTTCTATTTTTTTTACCTGTTCTTTTCCTTTCATTACCAAGGAAGAGTCAGGAAGGATGGGGGTAAAAAAAGAAGAAAAAGGAAAAGAAAAAAAGGGGAAAAAAAGAAAAACAGTGACACACTGGGGTATAAAGAGGGGTAATAAATCTTGGTTATCTCGAGGTATCTTTATTTTCACTGTGAAACGGCCATGGGTGTGGTTTGGTAGAGGAAACATTCAATGTACAGTACATACAGTACACTACTTACTCTCAACGCTCCAGAAGTATGTTCCTGTCATCCACTTAATAGGTTAATATATTAGAATTGGTGTGAGATTCGGATATTCTTCCCGAAATCTATTAAATTCGTGACGAAATCCATCAGTCTTAATTAACTGTAGATCGCAACGTTCGCATTTCTCGAACTACTAGGACAGTAATATCACCGTGCTTTATTCCTACCATGCTCATCAACAATCAAAGTATCGAACTACTATTCATTTACTTTACCTTTAGGCAACGGGTGGGAGATCAGACCTCTGGCTAACACTCAAGGTAACCCGAGATCGGCAGTGGCAGTGTAAGTGTGCTAGTATTTTGAAAGGTCACGACGTTTTCGTCGCCCTTTTCCACGGTTCATGGTCCCAATGGTCCCACTCCAAACTATTGTGTAAGGTACTCTCGGTATAAGTATTATAATGAGATGAATTAATGTTGAGGATAATCCTGGTCAACGTAATTGCACGTACTGAGCTTAAACGTGTTCTCGAACAAATACCCTGGGAGCTATAAATAAACAGGATCTAGCAACGGTTTGCTTGACCATCTATCGCATCCCAGGCAACCATCCTGCCATGAGATTAAGGAGCCGATGCTGCCTACTTTCTTCTCAGCGCTGAAGGGGTGCTGCCACCAAATAAATTTGAGAAGAGAGGGGGAGACAAAAAGATGAAAAAAAGGAAAAAAAGCGGCATCTATGAGTGATTGGGCGGGATTAAGGAAAGCCCCAAAGGCCTTCACCTCATTATTCCTGTGGGTTTCCAAGGTTCATGGCTTGATTGGACCATAATTCAGTTTAAGGTTCTATTCTTATTCTCTTCACCGATGCCTCCCTCTGTCTTGTGCAGTCAGTGCACCCCTGAAGCTGCCTGTCAAGCTAAAATTAACACAACAGTAGTAATCCAAATATCCCTGCACAACCGATCAACACTAGGTGGTAATTGAAATTGCATGAGAGTTCCATAGAATATATATCCTAAGAAATATAATAAAGGACATAAGACCTAATAGGGAAATTGTGTTCCGAGATCCGAACAGGTTCAGAAGGAGCTCTATCGTGGTCATTCTTCCTAAGAATTTCATAGGTCGAGAACCCTCCCCCCCCAAATTGTGGTCGTTGTGACGATCTCTCGGAATCCTTCCTCGGATGCAGCCATTGGCCGGGCCACATGGAAGACCAGCCCGGAAGCTCAACCGGGACGGTTGAGAGGAGTTTAGCGGGTGGACCAGCTGATGATAAACTTGCTCATAGTCAATGAAATTATTCTGTGGCGACCCAGCAACGACATTGGGATCTTCCGAAATTGCCTGTTCTCCCAATGGAACAAACAAAAAAAAAAAAAAAAAGAAATAAATCCAGAATGGACTCTGGTAAGAATTATTACTGGACAGGCGATGATTGGCATTTTTTGAATCCCGAAAGATGATCCCCGCTTCCAATCAGCCTGATTCTTCAAAAATAAAAAAAGACCCTTTTTCCCCATCAAACATCCCCCGGAGATTTTTCGCTATCACGTTTTCCGTGTTTCGTCCGAATAACGTTCTCGAATGAAATATGGTTTGCACTACGGAGTACGTCAGCTTCTGGATAAGCTGTGAGAGTTCCTTCTCGGCTTATAAATGTATAGGAATCTAGAATGTCCAAGTAACAATAACCACCTGGTTGTTGAGACGAGATTATTACAGTATGATTCTTAATCGTCATAACAGACGGGAACCTCCGTGGTGGGTAATGGTGCCTCCTGCTTGTGTGGCTGGTGTCGATCAGAGTACTAAGGTTCTTCCCATAATGCATTTGCTTTCGGCCTGACCTAACCGGCATTAACTGTCTGGCAATGTGATAGCGGCTTGTTAGTGTCTTTCCACTGGCTCCTTATTGTTGACAATATCAAGCGACCAGTGATCAACCGTAGTATTTATTTACTAATGATTAACTAATGCTACCATCCTTGAGTGGCATCCCTCTTCACCTCATTACCCCTCTCAATTTCAACACCGTCGGTGGATGATATTTCGCTCTGGAAGGACTCGCGCTCCATACACGTCCAGTACCCTATCCAAAGTTCAACGGAAAGTATACCCTAGAGTGGTTGACCGTGCCAATTCGACAACTGTGCCTTGTAGACCAACTAATCTACAGGCGATTGGTTGCGCAGATTGGGCGGGGTGTTACACATCCATGTTATGCCTCATAGCCTATCACTTTACTAAAGTCTTTTCACACCCGCCTTTTGTCAACTAGATCCATATTGCCGCATGGTAGTGCCGCAAATTGACTGGGCTGGCTACTACTACTCTGAACGGAAGGATTCCGTCGGTAGTTCTGACTGGATATCAATGGCATGATTTAGGGCATCAGTTGACGACTACCGATCCCTGAAAAAAGGCTACCAATGCTACTAGCCTCCTCCCTGGAACATCTAGACTACGAATGAACCCTATCCACGAGACGAGGCATGTATTTATCTATCTCCTGCGGTTACGGCCACAGTGAGAAAAAAATGTATATTACTTTTGTTGATCTGTTTGTTGAATTTTACGACGACCGACCCAACCTGACTCGGAGGACCAGCGCCCGCGCACCAATGATTCAATCCTAACCGGGATCCGCTGTCGATAAAAGATTGATCATGGGATGGACAATGAAAAGGGTAAACGGGCGCACCAGGACTTCTAGCCTGGTCTTAGCACATACAGCACAGAGGACTGCGCCGCACGCACCTCGGGATTCGGGTATGTTTTTTACTTAGCGCGGGTATCGGATCTCTGTCCAGTGTGGCGCCTCATTCGTTAGGCAAACTTAGCAGCCGTTTACCTCGTCTTTGGCCTTGGAGGAAACGGGCTGACCGCACGGGAAATGATCCTTTTAGAGGCTGGTCTCCCGGCTGTGATTGGATCGCCTAGGTTCCGGTCCCCATGTGGTTCCTCCCGTGACAATCCGCTGCTGTACCCCATCCTGCTTGGTTGATGAGGGGTTTTTTTTCCCTTTTCTTTTTCGGTTACAACACTTGATATGGTCTCGTTGAGATCTAATCGGTGGATTCCGTGGTCTGGAATCCCACAATGCCTCTATACAAAACAGGTTCCTGCAGCTATCTACCTCGTGTTGATAGTGTTGGCTTATAGTCCATTGTGACTGGTCAAATATCCCGTACCTTGTCCCCTCTTTATCAGCCTCGATCGAGACTTGTGAGGTTTTACCGGTCTTCATTGGTTTCGAAAATGGGAGACTGGCGACATCGATTGGCTGCAACACCACACGTGAGCATGCATGGGGCTGTCACTTCATGATATCAATCGATTAAACGAATGCGATGGCGTCAGTCTCAATCTATCTGGAGTGCGATGGGGGTAGCCAATCTATAACACAATCCCGTCTTTTCGATAAGAATTCCATTACCGAGTACCCGCTTTCTACGTTGTTTCTTTCAATCAGAGTCAACCTATATATAGATATGCTAGGTAATTAGGCGAAATGAGACGCCTGACTCAGCTCCTGTAGCCGCGACAATACTTTTGAATCAACATCGGAGGTTTCACTATGCAAGCACTACGGTGAGTGGTGGAAACCCACTCTTGAGGCTCATTGACACTTCAGATACACATCTATGTCTCAAACTGGAATATCCGAGCGAGCTGTTGCGCCCAATTTATTGTCATTTATATTATGGATTCTCAATTATTTTCTGTTACGATATGATTCAAAGGGGAAAAACCAAAAAAAAAAAAAAAATTGAACCCACCAAACTTATGTATATATTGGGCGCCGAAAAAAACCCGCCCCCCCCAAAAAAATACAAAGGAGCACATGGAACCTGGGCGCTCCACTACGTTGACGGATTCTAAACCCGCCGCTTCGGAAACGATTCCGAATATGACCGTTCGTTATTATTGTAACTTGGTTGAATGCGTGTACCATCTGGAAGACAAATCCGGTGAAACTCGCAGCGTTTATCTCGCATGATGTCTACACCTTCAATACCACCTTCTACAAGGGGGCTCTGAAACCATGGTCAAACCCCACCCAAGAAGTGGACATGTTTCAACATTGCGCAATTCCATCGGAGTCGACCGACGTCCGACATCTGTCATTGGAATGCAAGCTTTGGGGAATTGTCCAACCGGAGTTGGTGGCTTAGATGCACTAGATTATTAGAGTAGTATTGCTAGCCCTAAATAAATTAATTGTGGATTCCCTTGGATGGAGATTGCTTTTTGTTTGTTTCTCCCCTTTTATCTCTCTCGACTGTTTTAATCTGTTTATTATTTTACTCTTTCTTTTCTGGGTATTATGCTTGTTCGGATGCTCGGAGACTAAATACGTAAGTCTAGGTAATGGAGTCGTTATGGGGCGCCTCTCGGTTCTACAAGATCCGATTATGGGGATGTTAATTTTTTGTTTTAATTTTCTCGGTCGAGAGACGTATCTCTCGTTGCTGCAATTACACATTTACGATCACTAGCACAAAATTTTAGACTACTTATGAAAGATAGGTGTTTATTGGACTCCCTATAGCCGAGATCTCTCAACTTTGAATGTCTTAGATAACAAGAATGATTAGTTAACGCGAATTCCCATAATTAACTCCATCCCAAATTAGACCCGGTCCATTCATACCCAAAACACTACTTATGAAACCATCGAAATGAAATGAGGGGGGGAAAAACAACCAGGAGTTATTAAGAGAAAGAAAAGATTAACAGACCAAAAAGGGCAAGTGCTGACTCCAGAGTCCGATATCGTTACTCCATCAATACTACCAACTACCCGCAACCATATGATCTCTTCATTCTCTCATTTCCTGGATTCTTCCCACCGCTGCATAGTTACCTCCACTATCTTTGTCAACCCTGCCATCTCTTCCTCGACCAATAACCCCAGCGCCGTCGGATCAATGCTGCAGCCCACGTAGACTGGGACCCTCATGCGACGAGCCAGGATCTTAGCGATCCGAGTCGTGTATTCCACACTTCCGGGGAGATTGTATAGGGTTGTGGATATGGTGTTGCGAGGGTTCGTGCGCTGGTATGTGTGAGCGACTGAGTTTCAAGTTGATTGGATGGGTAGAGTGTTTTGAGGTAGATGGTTAAAGTGCTTTGGTAGTAAACGCAAGATGTGTGTATGGCAGAGATGGATATACATGGAAGAAAGAGCCGCGGGTTTTGGAAAAGCATAGGACATGTGGTATCCAATGTTCCGTATGGTCTTCTGTCTATATGGACATATTCTCACACCGCCAGCCCAACTATGTAAAAGTCCGACCAAAAATCAAGGGTAAGAAGAAAAAGAAGCACTTACATCCGGCATAGCGTAAACGAAGCTTCCCATCGGTTTCACGGACCCCGCCGCGTCACCCGGGGTCGACGTCGCCAGAAATACTGTTGCACATGTGTCCAAGAGGGTGAGATGGACGTGTGCGGTCGTATGCAACGCCTTTGGAAGGGGGAATGATAACTCTTGGGGTTTGGCATGCGGCGCCACGTTCTCGACTTGAGGCGGTATCGGTGCTTCCACTGCTGTCGCCATGCTTGGAGGATAAATTATTTGTGAGATATCTATTTTCGACCTGCTGAGTGCAATTCCTACGTCCTTTTCTTCTGAGATGTCCTGTTTTGATGTGGTCGTTGATGTTGATATGGATCGATGAGTGAGACGTTTGAGCCTTGAGGTACCGCTCTTGGTTCCCCGCCAAACAGAGCGGGTCCATTCTTCACTCTTTTGAGCTTTGGCTACCATCTCAGATCTTCACATTCTTTTGTTCCTCCATAATATAAAGAACAACGCTGAGTTAAATTTCTTTTGCTTGGCTCCCATATCAAAGGGAAGTGCCCGTTTCTTTGGTGTTGGAGATTTTACAGTTGTACAGAGTATATTTGGTTGTCGACTTGGTTATCACGACGGTTCCCATTAAAGCAGCATGGCTTCTGATTCGCAGCATCAGGATGATGAAGAGGTTCGCAGTTGGGCGGGGGACTTTGACCCGCTGGCTGACCCCGATGAACGACGAGTGCTTTTTGCTGCGCTGGATTCTTTCAGGTATGGGCTTATGCTTGTTGGTAGTTCAATTGTATTGCTGTCCATAGGTGGAAAGGTAACAGGGAGGATATGAGGGGAGAGACAGAAGAGGAAGAGGTATTGCATTCGTTCCTTCGGAGCTCCAATATGTTCTCTTTTGGCTTGACTTCTCTCAATGCCAACTTTAGCCTCTCGGGACTACATCGGATTGACTGTTCTTAAATTGTGTGACTGAACTTCTCTTAGGCAATACCGAAGAACTGCTCACATGAATACTACGCATCGCCGACGCCAGGCGTTCTATGCTTTACCATCTGCTCACTGGCAGATGCTTGCGGAGCCACCATTTTCAATTTTGGACAATTTTAACCGGGTAGATGATGCCATTGACGTGAATGCCGATATCGCAGACGCTATCCTCGCAACGGGGCTTTCCTCGTTTGGGCTACCGGCGAACCCCGATCCAGAGGACCCGCGTCAAAACTGGCATAACACAGCGACCTCTTCAGATGTTAACAAAGCCCACTCAACCATTAGGCAATTCTATCGCGACTGGAGCTCTGAGGGCAAAGCGGAGAGAGACGTCTGCGTGGAACCAGTTGTGCGCGAACTGCGGGATGAGTTCGGCGAGAGACTTGCCACCGGGGAGGAGGTCAAGGTGCTAGTACCTGGAGCTGGTCTGGGAAGATTGGTCTTTGAAGTCTGCCAGGCTGGTTTTGCTACCGAGGGCAACGAAATCTCATACCACCAGTTGCTGGCCAGCAGCTGGGTCTTGAACCATACGTCTGGCCCCCTGCATCATGCGCTGTATCCATTTGCGCTCCACTTCTCAAACCTCATATCTAGGGAGCAGCAGCTGCGGAAGGTAATGATCCCAGATACGCATCCAGGGGTAGCCATGGTTGAGGCGCAGGCGAACCAGACACCCTTTGGATCGATGGGGATGTCTGCAGCCGACTTCGTGGTGCTCTACAGCAACCCGTCCAATAAGGAGACATACGATGCGGTGGCTACAGTCTTTTTCATTGACACAGCCCCCAATCTCATTCGGTACATCGAGACGATCCGACACTGCCTGAAGCCCAACGGGGTGTGGGTCAATATCGGACCGTTGTTATGGCATTTCGAGGACGGCAGCAACCGTAGCCACCGGGAAGGAGACCGTGATGAGAACCAGGGGATTGGGGAACCTGGCAATGTGGAGCTTACGGAGGAAGAAGTCTTTTGCCTTGTGGAGCGGATGGGCTTTCACATTGAGAAGCGGCAGGAAGTGGAAGATCGGCCAATGTGTGGCTATATCCAGGATCCTCAGAGTATGCTCCAGCCACTTTACAAGCCATCCAAGTGGGTGGCACGGAAGAAGAATCCATAATGGAACTTAGAATAGTACAGGCAGAGAAACTTATCCATATTTAGATCCATGAAGTAAGTCCGCCTCGTTGCCTGAATGTCAAGGCCGCCGTTTATTGGTCAGTGCGTGGAGCTTTAGAGTTTGTATGAAACGGTACGATACATGGCGAGGGATCGGCGATACAGCATTCAGCCGCAGCCAGACAAAGAAAACGTGGGACCGACCAACGGGAGGCTGAGCAGCGTGGCTGTAATTATAAGGCTGTCCCTGCTTGGGCGTCAATCCTTCCGTACCATGGCTCGCCTCAGGCACATGTCCGGCTTCCCTTTTTTTTTTAGCACCAAGGTGATTTTTTAAGGGTACTATGAAATGATGGTTCAAGGGTGGGCAAATATACAAGAAAAAAAAATCACAATAAATTAGTTAGAATAGAAAGGATTGGGAGATTTAATGTATATAGCCCCTCTTTTGCTAGGGGTTATTATGATTCGGAGAAGCTTCTATAGATAGATATACTAAAATATATATATATAGAGTACGTATGGCTGTCAAATCAGAGACATATGTCAACAAGGAAACTGACAACTTGACGGGATCCGCTAACCTTGAATCGGACATGCCATGAAAGTGCAAGTGGACTGGAAGTTGATGCCTGGGGACTTATCATATACCTAATACAGTCCATCTGCCTAACATACACAAGAGAAAGTATGGTGGTATGTACTTGTATGGTACCGTACCACACCGGTTGTCTCCGCAATGTGTAAAATAGGAAGTTGGGGGCGGAAGGAATGACTTGATGATGTGCCATCATCCATGGTAAGCATCATCAATCAACAAACGGAATCACCACGTTTGTTTTCTACGGGGAAAAAAAAGACATACAGCCATCTGAAACAAAACAGATAAGGCTGAGTGAACAAGAATTAATCTTCCTCTTCAAGGGTCGGAGAATTACTGGGATTGATATCCCACCGAGGGGAGAGCGCATTCCAGGGAGATTGATCATTGAGGGATGATCATTCTAAACCAGTGACTTTTGGGGTCCGTGAACTTGCACCTTTCTGGCCTTTCGCTTCCCTTCGTCTCTTTGTTACTTCTTCAACCACCATTGTTTTCCTACGTTACTACGGACTTCCTACCGAAACGCCCATGCGTCCCTCTGAGAACCAATTAATTGCCTTATCCTGTGATTTTTTTCTGTCCGGACGATCTTCTTTTGCTCGTGTTCCTCCCGTGTTTCCCCCCCCCTCCCCACTCCCAAACTAACAATAAACCCGGGAGAGGCTTTTCTGACTGCCTAAGCAAAGAGTTGGCACTGCCTCTCTGTCCAAATACACCCACTCGTTTCTTACGCTCTCGCTTTTGACTTTTGTGCCTTTTCTTCCACTCATTTTCCTCTTCCTTTTTCGTCTTATATCTTCCCTGCACCCCCCTCCCCCTCTTCCCCCTCGTCTCTTGAATACTCCGTTGACCCCATCGTGGTCACTTATATGGACCTGATGAGCTCACGGTTCAAGTCGTTCACTTTTGGAACGAAGCGGAACAAGAATAGTGCCCAGCCTGCGCCAGTTCAACAACCACCTAACGCATCGAGCAACACACTCGTCGCCCCGCCCTCGAACGCCACCTCGCCTAGTTCCCCACCTTCTCACCATAGTTCGTCCACGACGAGTCTCCCGATGAATAACCAAAACCCTCTGGGGCGTCCCCCTAGCTATACATACCAGCGGCCGACCAGTCCGATGCCCCCCGGCCAGCAGTTGAGCCATCACCCGGCACCGTTGAACACCAACTTGCACTATACGCAACAGCCGGTCCAACCTTTGGGTGCTCCTCCGGGGTATGGTTTGCAACAGCCGGTCGCAGCTCATGGAATGGGCCAGGGGATGCCCCAGCCCCAATACGGGGTACGAAATCCCGCGGTTGAGGTTGAAGGTGCCGGTCGGAGTAAGGCCCAGCTGATTGTCGGCATTGACTTTGGCACCACATTCTCCGGTGTCGCATTTGCCTTTGCGACCAACAATGAAGCAAGAGAGGACATCATTACGGAATGGCCTGGAGCAGGAACTCATACCAAACAGAAGGTGACCAATCCAAACCACACTCAAGCCAGAATACTTCCAACTGACCAAGCTGTGTCACACAGATCCCCACCGTCTTATACTACGATCAGTACCAGAAAGTGGTGGGATGGGGCCCGGATATTGCAGATGCGCTGGCCCCCACGGGCTATCCGAAGCAGGGAGTGCAGAAGGTCGAATGGTTCAAACTCCAGCTTATGCTGTCCGGAAACACATACATCGATCCGATCAACCTGCCCCCTCTCCCGCCCGGTAAGTCGGAAATCGACGTGGCCGCCGACTACCTCTTCAAACTACGACAGGCGATGCGCGCTCAGCTACAGAAGACCCTCGGTGAGGTATTTACTCGGGAAGAGCGCAACATCCGGTACTACCTCACCGTGCCAGCTATCTGGAATGATGCGGGCAAGGCAGCGACACGAGCGGCGGCTTTGCAAGCTGGGTTCTTGCGGGACGAGAACGATAATCGCCTAACGTTGATCTCTGAGCCGGAGGCTGCTGCTCTGTTCTGTGCAAAGACCGGGTTGCTCAATCTGAAGGTCGGCGATGCGATCCTGATCGTGGATTGTGGTGGTGGAACTGTGGATTTGATTGCCTACGAGGTTGAGGAAGAACAGCCGTTCAGTGTCGCCGAATGTACAGCTGGATCGGGTGACTCGTGCGGTTCGACAGCTCTCAATCGGAACTTCAGCAACATCCTTCGTGCGAAAATCCGTAAGATGAAACTCCCTGATGGATCCCGCACGGCAGGCAAGGTGTATGCAAAGTGTATCATGGACTTCGAGAACCGGATCAAGGCCGATTTCCGAAACAACGGACAGAAGTGGGCCGTAGATGTCGGCATCGAGGCCGACTTCCCAGATGCCGGTATCGAGGAGGGCTACATGACGTTTACCAACGAAGAGATCCTTCAATGTTTTGAGCCCGTCGTCAACCGTATCCTCGAGTTGGTCAGGAATCAGATCATCGCTATCCAAGCACAGAACCGGTCTCTACAGGTATGTTTTAATACTACTCGTCTAGCTTTGCCTTTGACTAACCAGCATTGTAGAACGTTCTTGTGGTGGGTGGGTTCGGCGCATCTGAGTATCTCTTCCAACAGATCAAACTCCATGTACCGCCTCAATATCAATCAAAGGTTGTCCGTCCGATGGACTCGGTCGCTGCGATCGTTAAGGGCGCTGTCACTGCTGGAATCACGGAACGTGTGATTACACACCGTGTTGCCCGTCGACACTACCTCATGGCCACATTGCAGCCGTTCAAAGAAGGGTATCACCCGGAACAATATCGTGTTCCCAGTCTGGACGGCAGAGATCGCTGCAAGTACACGCGACAGATCTTTGTGCAGAAGGGTGAGAGAGTGAAGATCGGGG